ATATGATTAAGACACTCCTTCACGCCAAGGCCTGTAAGTTAACACTCATCCGAATGTATGTTTTATTCTTAGTATGTGGTTGTCCTGTTGTTTTTTCTATAAATGATTCTCAAACCATCTGGATATTTTTTCAAAAAATGTGAAATTCCACTTTGTCAAGCGAACTCATTTAGCCTGCAATGTCATACAGCTTCAGTAAGCAAAGAGTATTTTGGTGTTTCATGGTGTCGGAGGCTTGGGTTACACGTCTCGAAGCGATTTGGCGCTGCCTCTTGGTCACCTGGAGCCATCGACCGGCCAGCTGGGGAAAATAACTGCCTTGTGTGTTTCGCGCTGGTAGCGTGTCCTCTCAACCCCCACGATTGTATTGTTGCCATTCTTTCTCAAGTTCTCATGTGATTCACCTCAGGAAACATTCAATGTGTGCAAGCGGTTACAATGAATGAAGGCAGAAGTCTGCATTCTGATGGGTATAAAAAGTAAAACGTCATAAACTTCAGGGCTTTGCTGAAAAACAAAAACACATCCAGTTGCTTCTTTTTTCTTGCGCATGTTGATCAGTGTTCGACTATCTACTGTATCTTCAGCCTCCTGCACGTCTCTCTCATCCACTCGTATGTAATTTCTTATTTTGGAGGGATGTGAAGAATAAAAAGTTGTACAGTTCCAAATCTAGGATAACCGTTTACATCGAACAATCCTGCTGTTACCTGTCTTGTCTTTAGGTGGCAGCACGTCAGTCAGTCACGAGGCAATCACAGAAGACAGCTCCAGACTTTAATTCCCGTCCTGCGGTCCCACCCCAGAGTTTGCTTTTGGCCAGGTACTGGTGAGCACGTTCAGGCTGCATTGTGTACTTCCAGCTCTTCGTGAAAGTCCTGTAATAGGGAACGTATCGACCTGTCTAACAACACAGCTCAGTTCCAAGACACGGATCAAGACAATTTGTGATACATTTTTAAAGCTCATTGCCTAAAGTCAAGTTGCTTTAAAAAGATAATGTGATTTTACACAATAATAATACTATGCATTGGCTAATTTCTGTTAAATTAAAAGGGAAATTAGGAAAACAGCGTTAACAGATTTATCAAATTATACCACGTCCTTTCTTTGGATATTTAGTCCATATGCAGAGAAATGACGGTTCTGCGTTTGACTGTGTTTCAAGTGCTTGACAGTCCAATGTTTGATACAGAAACTTTCTTAAATCATTCTAAAACTCAACATCGAAACTACCGACAGTTATATTTATTTAAGCTTTTGAGAATTCCGAGAACTAATTAGAAAACATAGACACTTCATTGCAACATTGACTTTTGTTATAAACCCGCGGCGAGTGAAAGCCTTCAATCCGTTCTTCTGCATCCTATTACGTGAGAAAAACCTGAGCCACGCTCATGCAGTATATTTTCCTTGCGATATATTTTCATGGCCTTTGAAAAAGGTGTGCCTGGTGGTCGGTTTCTGGGGGCGGAACATGTTGTTGCTGCTCTTCCGAACGCGTCCGCGCGTCTTGAGCCGGCTGCCCGTGTCTCCGTGGGGCGCAGCAGACAGCGAGGCGACTGGAACACTAGTCCCACTCAGAGCGGATCCTCCAGGCGTCCTCCAGCGTGCCTGTGCTACACCTCATTCTCTGTTGATTTTTACACTCTCTGTCGCCCAGACGCCCCATAGATTGCATGATCTGTTTGGACACAAAGGTTCATTCAACAGAAGTATGAAACAACGGGTCTGCGAGAAGCAACCGGTGGCTTGTTCCCTTTTTAGATCACTTCATATATTATATAGAACATTTCTCGCTTCGACACGTCTGTGTCCGCGGTGGAGTTCGCAGTCCCACGCGAGCATCTTCGGCCTCCGAGCCTCAACATTTTTACACGTCCTTCGTGCTGTACTCCGGGGTTCACAAACGAAAACACACCCAGACATTTATTAGAGAGTGCATTATGCAGTATCTCAATAATAGATTTTGTCAATTAAATCGTATTTTCTCTGTCGTTATCTCCTACAGATGAAAGTGGGTTTCCAGATACTCTTTTTTCGACTATAACGGGAACATCCAACCCGCTCGAACCTCATTCAGTACCAAAGTACTCACAGGTTTCATTAGCTGGCAATGGAGAAAAAGTGTCGGTGAACATTTCTCTCGATCTACATAATATACTCATTTTTGCTGTGACTGTGCACTCACGTCGACCTACTTAAAATGTGCATTCCAATGAAGTACATGTTATAAAACGACTTTAGAAAAGTATAAGAATTTACTCGAATTTTGATTGAAACACAAACATTATATTTCAAAGTAACGAACAGATTAAGTTAATATTGTATTTATGTAATAATTTTCAAAGTTTGCATAACTTAAACATAAAATAAACATATACATAATAAACAGTGATTATAAATTCATTTATAATTTATCCGAATCCTATTAGCTATTATTCACTATAAATTAACTACAAGTTCAGTATAGTGCACACAGAAATTACACTATAAATCACTATAAATTAATTTATAGTATAAAACGACTAATAAGATTAGATTTTATATAAGAGGTTAAGAAGATCGCAGAGCTTATATTTCATATCAAAGCTGCTCTGAGAAGAAACTTGAGCTACTCATTTCCGTTGTGCGATCAATAATTAATGATTTATTAATTAATACGACCATTTGAAGAGAAAAATATCTGCATTGCTCTTGCACAGCTCGACAATCGCACGCATGGAAAACTGTTGACATCAATGTCCATTATATGCTCGACTGACTGGCGGCTTCTAACATTCTTTCAGTGAAAAGCTGAATACTGTGGTTGTAATGTATTACAAGACAAATTGAACACACAACAGCTGCGCATTATTTCAGTATTATCTATGTCTCACAAACTCTCTGCATTCTAATAGACAAAATAGACGAAAACCAATGTAATATTTATATACCATGTAGAATGTACTATTCTTTGATAAGTACATTCATTTATGCCATGTATCTGGCCCCACATATAGAAACACATAGTCATTGTTACATCAACACGCAATGAAGGGTAGTGCCCAAAAATAATTTAAACAACTACGAGGGTCTTACATGAAAGGTATGTACAAGGATAATGTTGCCCGAATTATTAATGTTTTTTTTCTTTGTTGGCTTTGTCTTGCGCATAGAACTATTCACAATTTCGTTAATAAAAATATTTGATGAACTTGTATCCATATGTACACCGAATGAACCAGTTTTAAACTAACCTTTCTATGTATCTCTTCAAGAGTATATGTGAATCCTCGAGTTGTAAATGGGCTATTGTCGGGATTAATTGGAAAGGATAAATGAAAAGCGAAAGTGGGTGAGTTTCTAACGTGAATGGTGACTGGGTTATTGCGGAAAACTGCCACACATGTACACCTGCATTAATTGACGCGGTTTCTAAAACGGAAATTATTTCTTCGTATAGGAGGACGTGAAAAATAAACAGTCGTACTGGAGAGATTGTTACGTCAAACAATTGTGCTGTTACTTGTTTTGTCAGTTTTCCTGTTTTAGGAGAGATTGTAGAAAATTGTTTCAAATATTGATTAAAAATAATTTTTGAATTGATAAATTGTGCTTGTAATTTTCTTTCAAAGCCCGGTGACTTAAAAGCAGAAGATAAAAACGCCGCAGAGAGGGAGCACTGGATTATTACAGTGACACGTGTTCCAGTGTCCGGATTAATATTTTATTACATTAAAATACCTTTAAAAATGATGATTTATTCCAGCCGTGAACTTTCTGAGGTTTGATCCACTGTATTTTAAAACAGCTGAGGACATTTTAGTATAAACAGACAAATAAAAACGTTAACATTCATATTGTGGCAACAATTTTGCCTCGCGAATAACACGATTTAGGAGTAATGTTAGTGTAACAAGTTCTCCAGGTAGATGCCGTGCACCTGGGCTACAGATTCTTTAACCATGACATATACCTGAATCGATGGAGAAGAAAAAACAAAGCCTTTTTAAATATTCTTTAAATTGCCTGCGTGAATATTTTTAGATATGACTGTGTTGGCCTGCTGGTATGGATGGTGAATAATGAATGCCCTTTCAGGGGAATACGAGAAATTGAGTTTCCTCCTTAACGTGTGAATTAAGTGGGGTTTAGCAAAAATAAACATTAGTTTTTTTTCCATCGCCTTCATGAAATGCATAGAAAACAGACATAAAAATTCAGCATAATTTATATTCGGTTCAAATTGTTCCAATTGTTCCAATTTCTCATATTTAATAGAGTGGAAAATCGAAATATGTTAGTCTACATGCGATATTATCAATAAATATATGCAACGATTGAAATTTCGAAATAGAAAACTAAAAAAAAAGGTTTGCAAAGCTCTGTGTAGCCACACAGAAGTCTCGCCAGGTGGCGCCATTGTTCCAGTAATTTCACTCGTTCATTCATTTGCTGTCGGAAGCCAAGGTCAAGAACGGGCCATTTTCCTTGAGGTCAAGGTTTGATCCCCCGAAACCCCAACATAAACACTCGCGTCCCAAACAAAACAGCAAATCAGGCGAGCGTGTTCTGAACCACCGATACACAGAACATACGATACCCAGAAACATGTCTTATGAACACAGATTTTAATGACTACAAGACTTAAAATAAGACAAGCTGCTGTATATGGTAAGTACTATTAAAGGAACACTAACGTTGCATTTAATGTTCGTGAAAAATGAGAATTAGACTATTTATTGATTAAATTAAATCTGCAATAATGCTCGATGCCTCTGATTTTCAGCAGACATTCGGGAAGTGGAAGGAAATTAAATTAACAAGTCGTTTGTCACCCTGTTTCTTTGAAGTCGTATAAATCAAGTTGGAGTATTTCATTTGTAGGGTAAGATTGAATTTGAAACAACTCGAATGGACTATGCCTACTACATATTCACCCTTCCCTTATCACGAGGGGGCAGTGATTTCGGTGTCGTTTTAAAACAAAGATATCACTCTCTATAATCATATTACATGTCCTGATTTTATTGGGACGGAATTTGTTTGGTAATTAACAAAGTACACTGATATTTTGCAGACATAGATATAAATGAACAATGCAAATATTCAATACTTCAAGCATACGGCGCTGGCATAGGCTATACAACAACAATAACGCAAATATTATAGGAAAGCTATTTTACAATTGACACATATGAAAAGCTTTGCTTTCACCAAAGGACATCATGAAACAGTAAGATTGCCTTGGCAGTTTCCTTAATAAAAGGACGTGTAGATCAGGGAAACATTAGAAATCACGATGTAAGTAGTCGAGAAACAACTCTATAAGACTTGAGATATCTTTAAAAGCCACGGTATACATATTTTCCATTAAACAAGTGAATTGTGTGCACATTTTATTTTATTAATTTTCATTATGTATAATTCTAAAACATGCTGGTTTTAATTTAGGTATCCCAGACTGCTTATAGCCTCTTTTTCAGAACTTTCAAATGAAAAAAAAAATAGAGCGTAAACATATTTATTACACGTTTTCTAGGATTTCCTGAGCAGAAATGAAGCATGCAGTATAGATTCGCAATACACTGTACATGAATAAATCCCCGTCTTCCTACACGCCTTGTGGAATAAGACACAGCACTAGTACAGTCCAACCACTGATGCTTGTAGCAACACAATATCTTTTACATCAAATACGGAGGTTCCGAACGTCTCCAACATTCGCTCCTGCCACAGAGAAAGGCTGGGGTGGCGCCGTGGCACGCAATGTTAAATTCTTTCAGAAAAAAAGTCTTCTTCATATTTACCTGTGAATTTCGAAGTCTTAAATCCAAAGCCTCGAGGTGTGTGTATAGGAATGACATACACACGTCCGCACAACCTGTAGTTCGCACCTCGGAGAGGGAAGAGATCCCCTTTCAGCCCCCTCACAACTAGCTGGTGCTCTTCAGTTTATTCACCACTTTCTTCTCCTTTACTCTCCTGTTCTGGAACCAGATTGTGACCTGCCTTTCGGACAAGTTTGTTTGCGCAGATATCCGTCTCCGCTTGTCCTTCGTGATGAATTTATTAGTAGCGTACTCCCTCTCGAGCTCTTTCAGCTGCACCTTTGTGTAGGGCACGCGCTTCTTCCTCCCGCGCCGAAAGGTGCTGCCGTCCCCCGGGTGCGAGACCACATCTGCACGAGAACAGAGCGCAACATTACTCTCCCGGAATCTCCCTCTCACCTACATAAGGGCAGCCGACAGCAGAACTTATCAAGAAAATAGCTGCTTCTCACTGACAAGTGGTTGTTTTTTCCCCCCCGAACTCGTTAGCAAATACCTGATACGTTACAAGCAAGCGCGCTGGCTTTACAAATCACAGATGCTTAAAATTAAATTGAAAAAAAAAAACCCCAACACGTTAAAATGTCACCGGCGGAAAAAAATAATTGCGCTTTCCAAAAGTAAAAGGCACGTTTTTTTGGGGGGTGGAAAAAAAGGTCAGTCTTCTCGGATTTCTAAGTGTACCTTCGCGTTCTTTACGTATTCTTGTGAGTAGCTGCTGCCTATTCTCTCTAGTTTGAGCGCTATCAAACAAGCTTTGTGCCACATACCTTGGATCGATGATTTCCAAAGGTGAGCCGGCTGGGCTTGCTCCTTGGAGCAGTAAACTTGGCCGTTCCACCCGTTGGTGATCGCCCACGGCTGGTAACTTTCCACGGGTAACAGCGGTTCGTGCCGGGGCTCCCCCGGAGCGCTAATCGTCGGCACTACCGGAACATCTAGATAGCTGGGAACGGGCTGATAGGGGCCAGCAGCGTAGCCCTGATAAAACGCGAATTCCTTTGCTCTGGATGTGAATTCTTCGCCAGAAACCGATGTGTCCATGTACTTCTCTGCATAGGTGGAGGGCTGTGCGCAGGACTTTATGCCGCTATGATGTGTCATCCTACAGGGGTAGTAGCCGCTGCCAAAATATCCATAGGGCAAAGAAGCGCTAGAAGAGCTCTGGGCTGCAGAACAGGGGCTGCACTGTTTGACAGGTTCGGCCATGCCAGAAACTGGCACCTCACTCGACGTGTAAGCAGTGCTGGGAGCCAGGGACGCAGGATGGGCCAGCAGATTCCTGCACTGATTCGCGGCAAAGTTGCCTCCTGCAAATCCTTCCATGTTTTTGTTCACTTCATCTAAACCGTTGTCGTACAGGAACATCACCGGGTCAATCCAGCGGGGATGGAGAAGTAATGACGCTGTCATAGCACGTCCAACATTGAGACTACTGGCTCTTTTTAAAAAGCCCCAAGACTGAAAAAAGAGATAGTGAATCTGAGAGAGTAACCAGCGCTGACGCGCCTGTGTACACCAAGCCCGCGCGGCTATTGGCTGAGCCCAGCCACGTGATATGCAAAGAGGGCGATAAACATCTCAAACACAGATAATTAAATGTACAAGATGCGGTGTGTTGTAAGTTGTCCGTAGCAATCAAAGTTCCTGGCTTGTGTAATACTTCCCAAAAGCTGTGGACTCGCGCGTAAATCTGAGAACCAAGCATCTGCTTATATGTGGATCTGTTGCAAGATAAGTGGATTACACTATTTTACCTCTTTGGTTTACATGATAATCGAGTTTCTCAAAATACTTTTTACCCCTTTCGACCGGCAAGGACTTCTAGGAATCGAATAAGAAGCGGGGAGAGTCTGGTGTGTCATGAACGACTAGGACTTGATCCTAACTCTTAATGTAACCCGAAATGTGCGTGTAAATCTATTTGTGAAAAGTATTTACAAATATAAACAACTCATTTATGCACTCTGGTTCTTTTTCTAAACATCCAGGTTAATTTAAAGCTTTTATATACAGACAGTATGCATTTCAGACAAAGCAAAGAGAACCTGGGAGTAAATAATGAAGTCACGAACCCTGCTCTGTCTGTCGGCAGCCTACCAACACAGTATCTTGACTTACAACTCAGATCTCCGCTGACGTTCCGATTCGTCTAAAAATGTGAAAGAAGATGGTACACGGAAATATATTTACAAGTGTAATTAAACGTACGCAGTTCATCAATATTAAAATAAAACTACTGCAGACAAAAGTAAAATTGCTGAGGTGTATAGTAAAATTAATTGTTTTTTCCTGTCAAATCTTTATTGCTTTATCGAAAAATGATTAAACATTTCTTTAAATAAATCAAATTTAAATAATTATGGATCTGTTGAATGTATATTATTACATAATATGCAGTATAATTATTTAGTGTAGGACTGACCTGCAAATTTTAACTATGTTTTGCTGATAAGAATATTTCAACTTCTCTATATAGTACAATAATATATGCATTATAGAAAGGACTACACAAAAAAAGTGATACTTGGTATAAAGTAATATTATCCTCTATTTAAAATGTAACTGGAAATAAAACTTTTGATACACTGCACTGAGAAATGTCTTCCATGTCCTGAAGATTACTCCTAAACTAGGCGTTTCTTTCTGCTCCTTTGACGCCTTTGCTCAAAGAGGAAATGTCTGCACCTTTTCAGCTATAGAAAATACGACCCCACTGGACGCTGGAGGCGCAAATAACTCTCCACGCAAAACTGCAATTGTAAAAATGGACAAAAAGGATTTACTTAAACCATTCCTACCACGGTAGCTTCCGGTGTGTTTACAATATGCAAAGCCAAAGCAGCCAGCAATGTGGCCGAGCTGTTTTACATACGGGTTAGACGCGGCCAGGGGCCAAGGTCAAGTTGAAAGTTGCAGTCTAGCCAGAGTAACTGTTGTCATTCAAGCTTTGACGAGCTCGTCTGAATTCCTGCATGGACACAGTCGTGAGAAAAAGAATGAACTGGGTTCTGTGCAAAGTTGTGGTTTTGTAAAAGTAAGTTATTCTCGTTAAAATGAATTGGGATCTAGTTATATTCTTCGTTTTTTTTTCATTTTTCAGAAAAAGGTGTGAAGACGATTTAATTACGTAAAAAGGGCCTCTCAAACAAAAGTGCTGCCACCGGATTAGTGTGTTTGGCTCTTTTACAACAAGCAAAGTCTGCGAACCGAGACTTGCGAAGCAGCTCCGTTTCTCCGCCTTCTCGATGAAGTGAAATTATATTAAAAAAATCTCAATTCTCAATTCAGATTCTGTTGTATTAAATACATGTAGCTCTTACCACCATGAAAGATTATGATCTATAAATAAATATATTTGTACAAGCAGTTTTCACGATTTGACATACATTTAGATTGATATCTAGTTTCAGCGTAGAATAAAACTGTGCCTAGGAAAAAAAAGGACAAGTACTTGTAATGAAGTTCTTTGCAGGTATGTTTCCTGCGAAATCTTTCAACTTGTTTTCGCGAACGAATAAATAGACTCTTTCTTGTCAACAATGGCGAAATTGTAAAATAATGTTTTGGGTTTTGCTTGAAACGCTTGCTCGTTATATTCCATTTAAACAGTTATCTCCTCTATTATTTAGAGCGGCCTTTTAAAGACTTTTTAAACATCTCGAATTCACTGCAGCTATCTTCATACGTTTTTCACATGTGGCATAATTTGAGTCTAAATTGAATTGGACGTTTTCATTGAAAAAATGACACATAATCAAGTAACATTTTAAAATATCTTAACGCGGAGCGGCTTTTCAAGGGATCAGTTTGCCTATTAACACAGTACATCACATATTGAAAATTCAGGGAGATATGATATATACAGATTATTATTAATTAGGATAAATATAGTGTTTCATAACACTATATTGCCATAAAATATGTGTGGAGAGCTTAAGAATAATGTTTTATGCATGGACTTCATATATACAGTAGCTCTTAAGTGTGAATATCTTAAAGGGTGCTTTACATATTTCGGACTATATCAAATTGTTTACATAAAGTGTTTATGAAAGCTGTAGTGAAATTTGCGTATTAAAGATATATATATATAATTAGACGTTTATGAGAAAATAAATACGATTATGAAATATGTGCTCTCAATAGAAATTTGATCCACATATTTGTTCATTTAACGCAGAACCGCCAGTATCAAATGCCCACAAAACCTTAGCAAAGTTAAAAATCGGAAATAATTAAAAAGTATATAGTGTAGCTATATGCATTTATTTCCAAAGAAAAATAATAAACATAGTGCAAACTGATTTTGTATTATGTATTCATATGTATTTTTTTTTCTAAGATATCAAATGAGGTATTTATGAAGAATAATGTGCTCTATTGGTACAGTGGCTTGAATTAGAATACACAAAATATGAAAAACTGCAAACAAATTGCAAAGTTAATTATTCATATTTGGATCTGTAATTCATACAGACGGCACCCAAACCATATTTAAACGACATTTGTTTGGAGGGCCAAGTACACACCTCCGACTGTCCTAATTGTGTATTATTTTTAAAAATCATTACCGTCTTTTGTTGCATATTTCAAAATAGAAAATAGTTGTTTTAGCTTCCGTAATTAATACGGTTTCTGTTTCGATGCACAGTCTGCGTTTTTATCTGTTTATCCATTGGTATGTGTATTATATTAATAGAAAATGTGAATTATTTCAATAAAATGAGCCAAGTGCACAAAACAAACAGGTTATATAAAATATCTTTAGGAGCAATGGCAGTGAGAAAAGACACGTTTATGTGTATATGTTTGAGTGAAAATCTGTCATTATGCGAGATTATTGTCAAAAACAGATTAATATGAACCATTACATACAGAAATTCCGAAGACAACGGGAATTACTTGAGGAAATAAATGTTTAGACCCTCTGAATTTCGACAGTGCCACGAAGAAGACAGTGTGCCTCTACATTGTGATTCCGGAATAAAAATTAAAAAAATAATTTAATGCCATAAGAAACGTACAAATTAGAAAAAAAACATCCGCGCCTGCAAGCCTTATGGTAGCATCCCTGCAAATAGGTCCTGTTTGTGCGGAAGCGACAGGCCGGAGCGGGGCTGCTCCTCGTGCTGGCAGTATCAGGCAGGGTAAGAGCAGCGAACCGAAGGAGAAGCTGAAGTCCAGTAAACAGAAGGGCGAAACTGCAGGTGAAGAAGTCTCTGCGAGCAGATATATTGCATCAGTAAAACGATATTTTCTAAACCGATTAAATAGAATAGTTTTCATTTTACAATAATCATAATCATAATCATGTATGCCTGAACTTTAGTTCAAAGACACTTTCGGTTCATAAAGGTATGGAATTCATGTTCTTAAATTGTTTTTTAATTGCTACACACCCATTGCAATGGGGTTATAACATGGAAAAGAAAAAGCAGGTTTAAAGGGAGAAGCTGTCGCCTGTTTCAGGAGACCTGTGCTATAGGGATGGTTTCCTCACAGCTGTAACAAGGCTGCAGTAAATACGATAATAGCACAACACCTATAATTAAAGGGAAAAGACGTGGCTGTTTGTATTTTGACTTGAGCGATCTTTCTCACAGTTCCTGAAGCACTATCGCTTTTCTTTCTTCACAACACAAGAGGCGAACAACACATCCCTTCAGAACACAGACATATGTTGCGTCTCCTTAGTATTTTGGGGGCGAGAAAAGGAGCACAGTTTAATACCTTAGGAGACGAAGATCACTAGGCCCAGAAATTAAAAAATACTACAAATTACATCCCGACATTGTTTTAGTGTCGTAGTGTTCTTAAGACACGGATAAAAAAAAAGTTACCTATTTTTTTCAAATCGGACTTTTGCGCTAAATGAAAATCGTTATTACTGAAGTGAACTGGTGTGCTGTAACGTTAGATACTGTGCACAGTACTGGCATATCTTACTTTGTTCGTCAAGTGATGCCCTCAATTCGCTAGTTTTAAGGTAATGAAAATAAGAAAATAGCGACAGTCTGCGAGAAAGTTGCTCGGTTCTTATGTTTCCTGAAATACTTTAATTCTGAATAGTATGAACCAAGGCTCTTAAAGGGCGTTTAGCTGATCTGAAGCGGTGGTATCAGTGCACCCTGCTACAATGTTGGGTTCGTGGTGTAGTGTGATCAGAAAGAAAAGCTGACAGAATATTTTATCAAATACTAGCAATATAAGTACATCTGAGAACATTACTAATTTTAACAATATTGGAATAAATATAGTCAGACATCTATCATTGATATTATTCCTTCTGGATATTTTGCCTGCTGACATTGGGATTATTTCGTTTAAATCAAGATTGCCATGCGACTCATTCCGTGACTGTCACGATATTAACTATCCGACATCGTCATGACGTGGTTGCTGTTTATTTTTAATCGACTCCCCACCCTTGCTACCGAAGGACATGT